TATGTAGGATAAATGAAAATATTCTCTATCCCTCAATATGGAGACCTAATATGGGTGTTGTATTTGAATTAATGTATGATATTGAATCGTTTAATAGAGTGTATAATATAATACTGAATAAATTATATTAGTAAAGTTGAAATTAGTTGTGTTGTTGTTTAGAAATTTGGTTTATTGAGGAATTTTTTGGTGAAGTGTAATAGTCTAAAAATCCTACCAATAAAATATTAAATTTGGTCACAATTAATACATAATTTTGTCTTTATCCATTATCTTAGCCAACCAAACATCCCTAGCATTGTCTTGACCAAACTTTTGTATTTCCATCTACATAATTTATTGAGATATAATTTGTTTTTTAATTTTTCGTATTAAAGTTTGATTATTTTAAATTTGTATCAGGTAGAATTTCGTTCAAGTGAAAAATATTTTTTATCAAAGATATTTTCAATATAATCAAAATATTAAAATGGTGATCGAACTTAATTGTTGCCAATTTCAAATTCATGGTGCTTTCTTTTTTTATGCATTGATATATCTTTAGTAAGTTCTTGAAAACTCAATCCCAAGTAAAAAATTAATTTACCATAGATCTTTTATTCCTGAATATATATTCATGCTTTCCAATGTATATTTTGTATCTTCTCATTTGAACAATTTGTATTTCTGATTGTATTTGTTTCATAATTAAAATTGACTATCTTAATTTGAATTGTGATGCAAAAATTGAAAGAGTAAAATATAACGTTTAGCAAACATAAAAATCATATTTGTATGTTATACTGCGCTCCATAGTAATTTTTTGTATTTGCTATAGAGCTAATAATATGTAAATTTCGATAATCATTCCAATTTAAAGGTATATATTTGGAATTTGTATACTAATAAGAAACCGACTTGGTTATAAGTTGTATAGGTATATTTATTTTTATTGTGATTATAATCGTATATTATGTATTATATGTATTTAAATGTAAATTTGTATATGTATATGAAACTGTATTTTTGTATACATATAGATTTGTAGACAAATCAATGTCTTGCTCTATACAAATACAAATTATACATTAAATGTATAATTTGTGTTTGTATAAAGCGAGAAAGAGAGAATTGACAGATGAATATTTATATTGTATAATTTCAAGTGTATAGGACGAAGAGATTTGTATTTGTGTATATAGTTTTCCCTCACTCTATACGCATTTGTGTTTGTATAAAGTGGGAGAGGTGAGAGAGATTTTTGGGAGAGAAACGAATGCAAAAGTGTTTGTTACGAAATAGAATTAAATGAAACGGTGGTTATAGCATTTGTTTTGAATTAATAGTTTCTTATTTGGGAAAATTACTTTGATTGGTACTTTTTATCAAATAATTATTGATTTTAGTGATACTTTTTATTTATTACCATTTTTAACAATACTATGTTAAATCTGCAATATGTATTAAAAGTGAATTATGTATGCAATAT